CAAGGAAAAAACACCAAGAGGGTCCAGTTACCTTTTGGAAAAGCACCTTTTTAATTACAACTGGAACATTCAATGCAATCCCAGTGTACACTTGGTGTCAGGTTTTCCTCCCCCCCCCCCTCTACTTCCCCTGCTTCCTCCTCCTTTCACTCGTCTCCTTCCCTTGTTTCTGAACTGCTCCAGGGAGAGTGAAATCAAAGGAATGGGCTGGATTTTAACAGTAGTGCATTCCGGACAGTTCGACTTTCTCCTGGCTGTGCTCAACTGAACCCTTACTGCTTCTCTACTAGGGGCAATCTTTCTTGGGGTCTTCTGCCAAGTCCTTCCCCAAAGACTAGGGCTTTACCAATGACCAATGAGCTCCTCCATGCCACGTTGGATATTGCATGAAGATACCACATGCAGCCAGTTGGGTCCCTCCTTCCATCTTGGGTGAAGACGTCCCTTCTCTGGGTCTTTCGGGGAAGTTACATGTTTTTTTTTTCTAGCAGAATACAGGTAGCTCAGCATTCAACTGTGGAGTCCTTGGTGCACTAGTGACCTTACCTAGGTCATTACTTTTGTTCAGGTAATGAGAAGTGTTCAAGGAAACCACCAGGCTCAGAGAACAGCAAGGAGTGCACAGATTTTTCTCCTCCTCCTCGCCTCTCCTCCTTTCTCCAATTTTTAATGAGGCCAGCAGCATATTCTTTTCATCCCCTGGGGAGATGGACGTCCCCCTAAGCTCTAATTTTCTATTCTGGTTCTTCAGAAGGAAATATTTTCAGATTTCCGTTTGAAAAATGTATGTCAATGAGGGTTGGGTGCAAATGTGGCAATGCCATTCCGATATTTCTTCATCAGGGTCATACACTGATTATATTTTGTCGAGCCTGTTCTTCTTTCAACAGATCTGAGTGAGGTTCACACCCAGGACTGGCACGGAGCTGGATGCTTAGGTTGAGCGAGGACCAACCAATTCCTTTTTGACAGTCCTCCCACGGTTTTATAATAAATAGGTCTGACACTAACTCAGACACTGGATGGAGGGTTACACTGTAAGCCACATCCCTTTCCTGCCAATGCAATGCATCTCAAAAGAGGCAGGACTTGTGTTCTGTTGCTCCTTCCACCATTTTGCTGATATTGACAATGCCCCCAACCCATCCCAGTGAATGCTTATACTTCTAACTGCTGCTTCTTTAGCTCAGATCCTCAGAAAAGGAGGGTGACCATCTCATGATCTACACCATACACACAACATGTTTAACCAGGTCAGAGCATGTTTTTGTGATTGCATTTCAATATGCAGAACTTGGTGTGAGTACCGGTTAGATTTGTTGCGTCAACTCAGCCCCTCGGGTTATTTAATAGTTCAGTGTGTGATGGAAATCCAGGAAATGGTTCATTCTGCCAACTGGGTTAAGTGTTGTGTGAACTCTCCAACGGAGGAAAATGTTAGTTTTCTCCCAACAATCTGATCTTCATTAAACCCCTGTCCCAAACAATTGCCCTAAGTATCTGTAGGTAGACAGGTCATGCCATTGTTTGATGCCATTGTTTGGAGCCAAAATGCTGGTGGTTCAATAGACAATATGGACACAAGTGAACCATACAATATCAGAAAGAGGTAATATCTTCCACCCAGACCTGGCCAAAATCAACAACTGGGAAATCAAGTGAGGCCTGCAAGAAAACCTCAGGTGTTCATGTCAGGACATGTCAGCCTTGTCCATTCCTGCCTTGTAACCTCCAAATGAACTGTGTTTAACTTCAGACAACACTGAAATTTCCTGTTGGGTGTATTTTCTTAAAAGCAGTTGATACTGAGAAGCACAGCAGGACGAGATCTTTAACTTGGGTGTCAATTCAAACATTTCTGAGAGTCAGCTGATGCAACAGAGACAGAAATGTGCAGGGAGAAAAGTCATTCTCGTGCTAATTTTTCATTTTAGACATACCTTGAGAAGGTAGTCTCAGTTGAGCTGGATGTTCTGGAAACAGAGTGTCACGTGTTGGATCCAACTCCTGTCGAGAATTGTACTGTAAGACAACAGGATCACCATGTAAGTGTCTGAAGGTTCTTGCAAATGTAAGACTTTCTGAGAGGACAGGTGGGTTCTTACCACTCCACCAAGAGTAAATTGAGTTTCTGAACACACAAAAAACTGATATATTGGTGAACAAAGGGTTAATGCAGAGGTCTCCAAAATGGCAACTTTAAGACTTGTGGACTTCAACTCCCAGAATTCCTCAGCCAGCCATGCTAAGATCCCAGGGTTAATGAAACCTCAGCAGTCGCTAACCTATTCCATGGGCATTCATTTTGAGTTCATGTTACATAGCCAGATTTCATTTCAACTCTGAGCAATGAATTAGTCAGGAATTAAGAAGTCAATTCTTCTTTCACATTCACCCTGTGATGTGCAAAGCTGAATTGTTCCCAAGCCAGATTCCATGAAAAGTGCCTTATTGCTCCTCTGCTTAAAACAGAAGGTATCCAACCACAGCAACTTTTACAATCTCTAGATTTCAACTCCCAGAGTTCCCCAGCAAGCGATGTCCAAGGTTGGATGCCCCAGGTTTAGAGGTTACTGTCCAATTTTCATCAACATGGAACTGGCCAAGTAGAAGTTCTCATATTACAACACCTGCAAATGTTTCACCAAACACGAATAAGATAGTTTTGAAGCAAGTATGCATGTCAGGTTCAAAACCAAAAAAGACCCGCGAAGTTAGGGCAAAGCAATTTTCCTTTATTGCTCCTTACCTATAGAGAGAAATCATGCCAAACTAAAGCAAACTACTTGCATCATTAAATGTATACAGTAGTCTGATAACCAGGGGTGGGATTCAAAATTTTTAACAATCGGTTCTGTGGGCGTGGCTTGGTGGTCATGTTATTGTCTGGGTGTGGCCAACTCAATGTCACTCACATCGAGGCATGCATCTCCTCACCTGGCCTCCCATGACTGTGGGGATTCTGCAACAGTCATAAGTGTGAAAAATGGTCACTTTATTCAGTGCCATTGTAACTTTGAATGGTCACTCCACATGCAAAGTACCAGCAAAGGAGGGGGAAAAAAAGTCCAGAGATGTTCCTGAGACAGGAAATCTAGTCCTGCTGAGAATGTAATAAGGGTTAGTGTAGAGGCAGTTTCTGTGAGCAACACCAGAATGTTTCCTTCCTGCCTTCCTTACAGGATTAGGCCAGTAATTCCTTCTAACAACCGGTTCTCCGAACTGCTTAGAATGTTAACAACCGGTTCTAGCGAATAGGTGCGAACTGGTAGAATCCCCACCCCTGCTGATAACTTCTAGGGAGGAGCTGTCTTGACCTATTTCTTCCCAACCAAACTGTCTAAACTTTGCTGTCACTTGCTTCTCTGGAATGCAACGCCTCCCACCTGGGAATCCAGACTACATTCCACCACAGTGCACTAGCTACCCTAATGATGCTGCCTCACAAATTAGTCTAGCCAAGTTCCTAGTGCACTGTGCTCATTTTAATAATATCCTATCTATTAAGAAAGTGAAATACGCTCTAATCTGTAAATATGCTATAAAAGCAAAATACCACTCACGCATCATCACAAAAACACCAGAACCATAAAGCCTACAAACTTGAAATTTGGCACTTATGTTCCTCTTAGCTACTAGGTGCTCACTAAGAAAGGATTTTTGGAAATGGCCATCAGGGCATTAGTATTTCCTATATTATTATTAACATGCTCTGATGCTTAAGGAGTTCTACTCCCCCTCCTTACCTGAAAAGAAATCTGTTTCAAATGCAAAATACAAGCAAAGGAGAGGAGTTTTAGCTTCAGTTTTCATTCCACAGCACCAAGCAGCTTTAGTACAGAACAGTTGAACTAAGCCAAGCCCAGGCTCCTTGCTGTCTCCTTCTTGCTCACACAGCAAATACTGTTTCAGTTCCAAACAGCCCTGAACTCTCTCACACACTGACAGGACACTAGCTGGGCAGATGAGTACAATGGATGCTGGTAGGCAGAGGCACAATTTTTCCCCATTACTTTCCTCCCCAAAATCTTGCCCAATCACATAGTTTCGTAGTGGAGCATGGGTACCCTGCAAGTGGACCATAATAAATCCTACTAATGCTATAAATCCCACAGAAACACCAGTTTTAAAGCACTAACCCAAATGGTTAATTAAATCATGTTAAGTTAAAGTTTAACATGTTTAATTTGATGCCTTTGTATCTCCAGGCTGTTAAATCAGAATGTGTTGTCAGGATCCACAGAGAGAACGGCGACAAAGTGTCTGGTGCAAACTGCCACTCAAAACCAGGTAATTAATCTTTATCATTCTTGGACTCTTAGCGGAGTTGGGTTCAAGAAATTAAGAGTTGAGCTAACCACTGGCATCTTGTCATTTCCTGTCCTGTTTTATTAACTTTTTGTGATGGTGGTGGTACTAACCCAGCCTTTCTTTAAAATTCATTTTTTTTAACTAGTGGTTCTGTGGGTGTGGCTTGGTGGGCGTGGTAGGGGAAGGATACTGTGAAATATACAGTCAGGGGTGGTATTTGCTGGTCCTCTGAACTACTCCAAATTTCCGCCACTGGTTCTCCAGAACTGGTCAGAACCTGCTGAATGCCACCTCTGGTCCTGAGATGTTTCACCCGAGAGAGGCTAACTATGCATTGCTTTAATTCAGTCGAAAGGTAGTTCAAGCCAATCTAATGAGCTGGAATGGATCACTGAATTGGATGCTTCCAAACTGTTCATTCTGCACCCGCAAAACTTTTCTTTCTCAATCTGTTTAGGAATACAAATTAAAATGCTGCTTTCAATCCATTCAAATGATGGGCTTGAATCAAACTGACAGTTCAAATCAATTTGATGTTTGGATATGGACTGGAAGCCCTTACACACTTTTAATAAAGCATTTGACATCCCTCCTTCCTTCCCTCCCTCCCTTCCATCCCAGCCAATCAGAATCGAAGCTGTCCTGTCCAGGAAATGAAAGTGCAGGAGAATTAACTCTTTTGTTGGTGTTGTTATTTGCAAAGTCGTGTCTGACCCAATGTTCCTTGTCCTCTATCATCCCCTGGAGTTCTTTTAAGCTTGCACTGACTGATTTAGTGACTCCAGCCAGCCCCCTCATTCTCTGTTGTCCCCTTCTTCTTCTATTGCCCGCAATCGTTCCCAGCATTAGGCTCTTCTCCAGCGAGTCCTTCCTTTCTCATTAGGTGGCCAAAGTCTTTGAGTTTCATCTTCAGGATCTGGCCTTCTAAAGAGCAGTCAGGGTTGATCTTCTCTAGGACTGACCAGTTTGATAGCCTCACAGTCCAAGGGACTGGCAGGAGTCTTCTCCAGCACCAGAGTTCAAAGGGCCTCTATATTTTGGCACTCAGCCTTTCTTATGGTCCAAATTTTACAACCATACATTGCAACTAAGAAAACTATAGCCTTGACTATATGAACTTTTGTTGGCAGGGTGATGTCTCTGCTTTTTAGTTTGCTGTCTAGATTTGCCATAGCTTTCCTCCGCAGGAGCAAGCGTCTTTTAATTTCTTGGCTGTCATCCCCACCTGTGCTAATCTTGGAGCCCAGGAAAATAAAATCTGTCACTACCTCCATTTCTTCCCCATCTATTTGCCAGAAATTGAGGGGACCGGATGCCATGACCTACTTCCTGGTTATTGGAAAATTGCTATGGAAAATTTCCAATTTAGTTTGCATTTAGGGTATTCCCAATCAATCTCGTTATTTAGAACAAGAACAGTCATTATTCGGATCAACTAGGAAAAACTATGGATCAATGTTTGTTGAACATTAGCAAACATCAAAACATTTAACTGCAAAATGAGAGGAAAAAGACAGGCAAAGCAAGGCAGAAACAGAGAGAGAAAGAGGAAAAGAGATCGATCAATACCTATCCCTCATCTATATGATTTATGCATCTCTATATGCGGGATGCGGTGGCTCAGTGGCTAAGACGCTGAGCTTGTCGATCAGAAAGTTTGGCAGTTCGGCCATTCGAATCCCTAGCGTCACGTCATGGAGTGAGCTCCGTTACTTCTCCCAGCTTCTGCCAACCTAGTAGTTCGGAAGTGTGTAAAAATGCAAGTAGAAAAATAGAGACCACTTTGGTGGGAAGGTAATAGTCTTCCGTGCACCTTTGACATTTAGTCATGCCAGCCGCATGACCACGGAGACGTCTTCGGACAGCACTGGCTCTTCGGCTTTGTAACGGAGATGAGCACCGCCCCCTAGAGCCAGAAACAACTAACACGTATGTGCGAGGATAATCTTTACCTTGTATTTATATATATATATTTAAAAAATGACCCTTATAGAACCACTGGAAATGACATTTGGGTATTTAACATGGACATTTCCAAATGGAGTGGCCTTTCATTATTCCAGCTTGAACCTGTTTATGTACATTGCAATAGCAGAATAGGGACAGAAAGTAGGACACCAGGTGATCCCTCTTCTTTTCTGCCCCATTAAACAAACTACTGGAAGGATTGGGACCATAGTTTGGAATGCATGTCTCGACGTAGTGATCGTCATCAACTTAATGACCATAATTGAGCCCAAACTTTTTGTTCTTAAGCAGAACAGTTGCTAAGTGAGTTTTGCTCCATTTTATGATCTTTCTTGATACAGTTGTTTAGTGAATCACTGCAGGTGTTAACCTAGTAACACGGTTGTTAAGTGAATCTGGCTTCCCCATGGACTATGTCAGAAGGACACAAAAGGGGATCACCTGATCCCAGGACAATGCAACCATCATAAATATGAGCCAGTTGCCAAGGGTCTGAATTGTGATCACATTACCATGGGGATGCTGCAACGGCCATAAGTGTGGAAAATGGTCCTAAGTCACTTTTATCAGTGCTTTTAATTGAGGCACTTGGCCATTGTCTCAGATTTATGACTATTGCAGTGTCCCGGGATCACGTGACTCTCTTTTGAGCAAGCCAAGTCAATGGGATTCAGTTGGCAACAGTGTGACCAATCACTGCAGTGATTAACAACTGTGTCAAGAAGGTCGTAAAATAGGGCAAAATCACTTAACATGTGTTTCATTTGGCAAGACAAATGTTTGGCTCAATTGTGGTCATAACTTGAGGACTTCCTGTATGTTATCGCCTGTTATGTTGTGACTTGGACAGAGAGGACGTTGGGGAGGAACAGGGCCAGTCCTACAGTCTGGGGAAGGCTCTGATGAATGCTATGCATCGGTGGCAGTTATGGGGCCAGGCCCCTCCAACAGTTACCAGCTGCCTTCCGAGTCAGAGATCAGTGGGGCAGAAGAACAGCTGGAGCCTGTTCCCATGTGCGCATGCACAGAGCTGTTAGAAGAAGAGAACAGTTAAGGAACAAGGGTCGACTCAGGAGTAAAGGCACAGATGGATGGTGAATGGCCCCTCTCACAGGGAATAAAGAAGAGCAAAAGGGGAGTGATGTTTTCAGGAGAAAATTAGTTCATTTAATTAGGGTGAAGATTTGGACTGCCACCTGCTGTAAGTGCCCTTCTTGACATTTTTTTTTTTGTTTGTCTTTTCAGATTCTGTGGAAAATGTGCGTCGAAATTGTCCAAAATGTCCAATTCTGGTGCCTCTGAATGACCCTCATGTGGTACAATCTGTTGAATACGTGCTCCATAAACACAATGAACAACAGCCTAACCATGCTTATGAAGTGCTTGAGATTTCAAGAGGACAGCACCAAGTTAGTATGCAAATCTTAAAAGGGAATTCCGATCACCTCTTCCAGTTTAATGCTTTGATGCTTCATATAACTAAGAGAAAGCAGGAGGAGGTGAGGGGAATTATGCTGTGCAGAACTCTAGGAAAAGAACCAATATCAACAAGGGAGAATATTGGTAGCTCAGGATTGAAATGAGCGATTCCGGGTGCTCTCGGAGCTCGGTTGTTTTCTTGAAGACGTTTCGTTAACCGAACTAGGTAACGTCATCAGTGCTAGGAACAGGTGACCACGGGTGATGGTGGGGATATGCAGCAGACAGGACTAAAATTTCATTCCCCCAGCTCTTTAATTTTGCCACTTCTACCCACAACTCAGCTGAAACGTCTCTTGCTTTGATTTCAGTATGAGCCTGAAGCTTTCTACGTGGAGTTTGCTATTGTGGAGACCAACTGCTCTGCTCAGGAAGCTCATGATGACCATCATGACTGCCATCCCAAAGCAGCAGGAGAAGCAGTAAGTGTGAGGGTCAACTCCAGTCCTATCTCAGCAATTGCCATTTATTTATTTCTCTCTCTCCCTCCCTCCCTCCTCTCTCCAAACCAGGATCATCTGTGCATTTGATTATTGAAAATAAGTATGCAAGGTCAAATATTCCATAGAGCAGTGATGGCTAATCTTTTCCACGTTGTGTGCCAAAAGTGTGCACAGGCGCTTTCTCGCATGCCTGCACTCATGATGCAATGTGTGTGTGACTCCCCCGCCCCCTGCGCATATGTGTGCAACCCCCTCCATGTACACTGCGTGCCTCTGCGCATGCACATGGAACCACTCTGCACACCGCATGTCTCTGCGCATGCATCTCCCACACACCCATCTCCTCCCGTGCATGCGTGGCTGATACCCAACAATCAGCTGGCTGGTGGGGGCGCACATGCATATGCAGGTGGGGCTCATCCGGGCAACCTCTCGCGTGCCGACAGAAGTGGCTCTGCATGCCATTTCCGGCATGCGTGCCATAGGTTCGCCATCATGGCCATAGAGAAATAGAGACTTGAATCTGGCTCTCACCTGCCCAAATCCTACACTTTAACCTCTGCGCAACCTCAATTTCTTCACAATTCATCCACAAATAATGCATCCCCAAACTTCCTGTAAGCCCTAGATGATAGGCTCAAGAACCAGATGGATCTTGACAGATTTGAACACTGGGCCCTATCTAACAAAATGAAATGTGATGTAGAGAAAAGTGGCACTTTTCTTTTACACTTAGGCAATAACAATCAAATGCACAGATGAAGAAGAAGAAGAAGAAGAAGAAGAAGAAGAAGAAGAAGAAGAAGA